CCCTCATAATGGTTTTAGAAACAAATTGAGAATCCCCATATTTTTAAAGTATAAACTAATTGGAAAACCTTTCCTTTGCGGATAACATTACTCTCTTATGAGGCTGACTAAATTCTTTTTCTTTTTATTATTTTCTTGGTCAATATAAAAAGAAGTCAACATACCATGTAATCCTATCATTTACTTCCAAATACACCAATAAGAACCTTTTTAATCTCTTTCAAATAATCATTTTTGTTTTGACTTCTCACAGTCGTGGCGCAATTATTGTAATTAAAATGGCACTATAAAATCTAATATATTTAGTCTTAATTGGCTTAACATAGATTTATAAATATATACAGTAATCTAGAAATCTACAAAATTTAATCAACACATGTAAGCAAAAAAATTCAAAATAATTTTCAAAATTGGAAATAAATTTTTGTTCTTATCATAAAATTTAATGTGTGTTTTTTTATAATTTTTTCCCTAATTTGGTATTTAAAATATTTATGCAATTCCTAATATGTCCTATAGGCATATGCATTCCCCCTATGTATATATATATGAGGTCACGCTCTTTGATTAATTCACAATATCTTTTAATTCTCCTTTGTTCATAATATCCACCATACAATGAAGTTTGTTAATCCAGATCACGAACCTCTGTGTTTCACGTGTGGAGAAATCTTTCTCACCCACCGAGAACTTTTCTCACACCGTGAATTGTTTCACACCAATACCAATTTAAACCCAAGTTTTCGCCAAAATCCACCTCAAAATAATTACAGTAGTTACTCTTACAATAATCAACCATTGAGGTTCCGAAACACATTCTCTGCGACTTCCGCAAATGTGAGACCAAATCAACAATTTGTGCCCATGAATCAGAACAATAATATCAATTTTATTGTTCGTAACATGGTGCAACCACAATTGAATTGGCGGTCGTTTCAATTGTCACCTCAGCCTCATCCCCAACCACATCATCAACTGGATCTGCAACTTTATATTGTGGAGGAAGATATTTCAGCAGAGGATGTAGTGTGCACTTTACCGCTCATCGAGCAGTTGGAGCGAGAGTGGCCGGAGACTATCGTCATAGAAGATGACGATGAGGATGTTCTAGATCTTGAACTAAAGCTTTAAAAATTAAGAGTATTCTCTCTTTTACCCCGATAAATGAATAAAAAACAATTAATTGAAAAATCGGGTTTTAAGACGAGGATTTTCTGCAAATGTTATCTTTGAATAATTTTTATTTTACCTTTGAATAATGTTTATTCATTTATGTAATATTTCTCTTTTCAGTTTTTATTTTATTTTAATATGTTGTGTTTCTATTTTTTATTGATAAAATTAATTTAATTTATAATCCAATAATAACTTGAAATGATATAGGAAAATCTCGGAAAAAGTCTCATCCTAAAAAAAATGTTTATCTAGAAAAAGTGTTGAGATACACTCAATAATAATCCATTTGTGAATCAAAGATCTGTAAAATAAGCCCAATCATACTAAGAAATGCATATAAAAAAAAAGATCGAAAAAATAAGCCCATCAAACATATTTTAGATGCATAATGAAAAGAGATCCCTAAACCATATCAATTTCTTGAAGAAGTTATGTAAAAGAGTTAATGCATAATTTGACTAACGTAATGAAAATCACTAAATTGTAAAAGGCCAAGAACCTATCGGTCGCATATGCTTGTATGGCCATCGCCTTAATGAGGCATAACACTCAATTATGTTATTTACTAGAAGAATTTGACATCCAAATGTTTGAGGTGACATAAGAGGTTAGCCATGCCCACATGATCTTTTGTTATCCAAAGTTTGTTTTGGAGGAGGAATGCATACTTATGACCGGTATAACAGTGGATGAATCAGAAAGTGGGAAAATGGGATTGCACTTCTCTAAGGTATTTGTAATTGTAAGAGCAGCTTTATGCTCACTAAAACGAACTTTTCTCGAATGACTTAGTTGTCGCTCCTTCAAGTTGATATTACTAAAAAAATTATAAGATACCCCATCTGCTTCACAAAGAGTCTCATTCTTAGTATTTTTCACACAAATTAAGAGAAATATATATAAAACATTACTCTTTAATAATACACTACATAATAACCCTCTCTCTAATTAGTAAACTGAAAGAGTAAAGATTTTTTTAAAAAAGAGATTAAGTCTTAAGAACTGTATTGGAAATAAGATGAAAACCTTGAAAATGATACTCTATGTAAAACGGAAGAAATATTATTTTTTGATATTTTGAGAAAAATGTTAGCAAAAAAATCAACTATCAAACAAATCCTAATAAAAGCTTCAACTTTATCTTATGTAAAATTGTACGCTAATTTATATAATCTTTTCATTTTTGTTATTAAATTATATTTATTTCTTATTTAATTGGTAATTTTTGTTGAATGTGCTAAATAAATTATAAATCACATTCTTAAAATTTATCTGAAAAAGAAATAATCATAGTTAAATTTTATTTACTTGGACTAGTGACATTTAATTTTGATTTAGTTTTCTTCTTTTGATTGTAAGATAAACACATGGAATTTAGTGCATAGCTTAACGAGTTAAAACCATATACTTTATCACATATAATTTGTAATCAAGTGATGTTCGATTTATTCCTTAAATTAGGAAACCGATAATTTCGTGAAAATAAGAACAAAGTATCCATAAAAATGTCGTAGTTTCTTCCACTCTCATTCACCACCGTGTTACCGTGTAAAAAAGCCTCACTTCCTCTTCCCATTCCCTATGGTGAGTAGCTCAAAGCTCTGGAGCGTGATATCACGAGCAGTCCTTGACGGCGCAGCTCGGGCAAAAGAAGACGAAGATGGTCTAGAGGTCGGATCAGGAACAAGCTGAGTCCTCTGAGCGGTTGAGGAACGGCCATTGTTTGGGATAACTCTGCTAGAGCGGTTCTCTGTGAAATCAGCTGAAGAAGTGGCTCTAACACTCGAGACAACGGCTTTTCTTGAAGAACTTGCGTGTCTTGTTGAAGAGATTGGTCTTTCGACTCTCTCATAGTTTTGCTGGTTTTAGTCAATAAAAAGTTTAAAAGAAAGGACTTCCAGAGCTAATATAAAAGAAGATTCTATGTTTGTAGATGACTCACCGGTGTTGAATCCTTCGATGACGCTAATACATTCTCTGAGGTTCTTGGTCTAGATCGATCAGCTTGAACAGCGCCACTTCCTGAGCCATTTCTTCTAGCATATGCCTCCAAGGCACCCGAAAATCTATCGCGACTGTCTTGCCCAGCTCCAGCTGTATACAGAGACACAAATTTTGGTTTACTATGTCCTGTTTTGTTCAAACACCAAACTATGAGAAGGGAACGTGATGAATTTCTGACAGTCAGTTAACAGGAAAGCAACCGATGAATAAAAGATGAAGAAAAAGACCAATCGGCCCCTAGATGGCGAATTGGCCACAAAACACCTGACTGGCATTACAACCAAAAAGGGAAACTGTTTGATGGAGCGAAGAAGCAGAAGCAGCCACGAGAAGAGACACACAAAATGAGGCAAGTGTTAACTAAAGATATGGGTTATACAATTGAAGGCTTACCTGAAGGTTTATCTGGTCTTTCGGCAGTTGGTACTGGAGGATTCAGAGCTGGTCTCAGGCTTGACTGTTGGAATACGTGAGAATTTGATAAAATGCTCTAAAGAACTCTTCTTCACGATGATGGAAAATTTCGAAAAAACAGATGTTACTTACTCTTGGCTTGGAGCTCGAGCTGGAGCCGGAACTGAACTGTGGATACTTCAAGATTGTCCAATCAAATACATAGTCAAACTGATAACCTGTAAATATATTGACATAAATAGCAATTTTGAGATTTTTAAGTGAAAATTTTCAAGCATAAACTACAACAAAATCAGGGAAAATCGAGACTTTTCCCAACCTTCTCGAATGAAGAGATCCCTGAAAAGCCTCTTTAGGTATGGATAATCTGGTTTGTCTTCAAACCGCAATGATCGTACATAGAGGAAGTATGATGTGAACTCAGGTGGAAAGGATTTACAAAGAACCTGCCAGTGGACATTTAATTTTTAAATTGTATCTATGAATGCAATATTTTGGTAAGTAACAGACTCTTTTGCTAGCTTTAAGACAGGTTTTCTGATGTAGTTGAGAATTGGATTCAAAACTGGTACCTCTACAGGTGTAAGCCTTTTCTTTTCACTGATCTTGTCGTACTTCTGCTTTTTGGTACCCGCTCGAAGGCCTTGCCAAGGAAGACTAGCACGAGAGACTGAGGGTAAGGGACAAACAAAAAAGAAAGTATATTCCAAAATATTGGGTGAAGTAAAAGCATGTATCTATACCTTCCTCGAAGAAAATACATAAGCACGTAGCCAAGAGATTCCAGATCGTCCCTCCTACTTTGCTCTGTGTAAGATATCTCAATTTAGAATTTGGAGTTTAATAGGAGGATGGACTGTCAAGTGCACGAATAGAAGAAACTGCTTGTATGAATGAATATAAAAGTAAGTAATACTCACCAATTCCAAGATGAGTGTTAACACTTGCATATCTAGCTGTTCCAGTAAGATTCTTGTTTTCCCTAAGAAGTAACTCTCGATTAGAAATGCGAAAAAGGCGTAAAGGGAATATATTAGCAATATTTCTTTTAACACTCAGAAATTTAATTTGAGCAAACTTCTCTCCACAAGGAAAAGAAAAATATGTACCTGTAGGGGATGTGCCTATGAGTTTGAAGATCTCTGTACTTTTTCGCAAGTCCGTAGTCAATGATGTAGACCTACGCAAGAACAAAGAGGAGTATCAGACAACCGATGCAAACATATATCACTTGATGTAGTAGCAAAAGAGTATGGAAAGAAATCCCAAAAAACCAAAAAAAAGTACCATAATTCAACACAAATAATGTTGCATACCATAACAACTCACCTGGTTTGCTTTGCGTCCAAGACCCATCAAAAAGTTATCTGGCTTAATGTCCCGATGAAGAAATCCCCGGACATGCATATACTCAACTCTATTTATCTGAAGGAAAAGAAACAAACATAAGTAAGTAAAGCAATGTAATAACTCAAAACATATAAGGAAGAGACTAATTCATACCATCTGATCAGCGAGCATTAGAACTGTTTTTAGATTGAACCTCCGACTGCAATAATTGAATAAATCCTCCATGCTCGGGCCCAAAAGGTCAATCACCATGCAGTTGTATTCACCCTCAACCCCATACCATTTTAGGTGTGGAATTCCAGCTTCAAGAAAACAAGTGTAAATATCAACAAAAAACGAAAAAATCGAAGGTTTTCAAAACCGAAGAAAGGCGAAACTCACTCCCTCCTTGAAGAAGCATATAGAGCTTTGACTCATAATGAAGTTGAGGATGCCTAGCCCGCGCAGGTTCCTGAAAAAAAAGATAAACAATGAGTTCATATTGTTTCAAGATACAACCAGAATTCCAATAAGGTAATGGTCAATGTAATGACTTACAAGCTTCACAGCTACTTCTTCACCAGTTTGAACATTCACCCCTGATAACAAAACAAGTCGACAAGAGTTTATCAACCAAAGCAAAACTTTGGAAAATACCAAAAGACAACAAATAAACAATCATCAACAAATACCTAGAAAAAGTTCACCAAATGAACCACTCCCAAGTTTACGTCCAAGCTTATACTTGCCACCAACTATACGATCCATCGTCTCAAAAAACTCACAAACAAAGTTTCCTTCTTTCTTCGATCTCTTAAACACTAACCCCAAGAAGAACAAAAAACCAAAGTTGACCTCAGATCTCAATTCGTCTTCCCCAATTCAAAGATCCCCAATTCAAATTTCAGCAACAACCCTTTAAAATATCACACAATCAAAGCACAAAATCAACATCAAACCCCTGAATCGAATCACCCCAAAGCTTCGACCTTTACACAAAACTAAAAGTTACCCATTGACCAACATCATCATCTGACAACTTCTCTGACAAAGAAACAAAAGCTTCAGATCAGGTTTACAGAATATACAAAAATGGCGAAAAGAAACAAAGACCGACGAAACCAGAGTCAGAGACACCAAACCACAACAAAAAAAAAAAAAAAAGATTTGGTCTTTGGATTCGATTATCGTCTGATCTATAAAGACTACTACAAGACAACTTTTGATTTCAGTATTTTTCTTAGGGAAGGAAGATAACGAATTAGAGACGAAACCAAACGTTTAAAGAAAAATGAGAAAGAAATCTCACGAGACGGACAGATTTTTTTTATTTCCTTATCCCTAATTTCTTTTTTTTCTTTCTTTTTTTTTTGTTTCATCCAAAATTTGCTTTATTCTCCATTTAATTGGAATTATTAAATTCAATAACAAGTAACGTCACCGTATAATATACCATATGTTTATAACATAAAATTAGTTGGGGTTTTAATGTTCTCTTTTGTAGCATCTTTATAATTAACAAAGTTGCTTTGTACCATATATATATTTGATTAATTCCTTTTTCAACTTACAGTTTTTAGGCCTAAATTAAACAACTAATATATAAGAATCAAACCGAATCCAAAACCGATAAGATATGTAAAAATTTTGAATTTTTATATTTGAAAAAACGAAATGGAACAGTCGAACCGAGAAAAAAAATAAACCAAAATTCTTGAAATGAATATTAATTATATTTTAGATCTTATGTTGACAAAGAAAATATATTTTTTAACCCAGCTACCCAAAGTTTACAATTATAAATCCAAAACTATCAATTATTTTTAGACCAAATTTTCAAAATAATAAAAACATGTTGAAATTCTTTGTTATTGTTTATGTTAAACTTAACCAAACTTTTTTCAAGTTTATTTTTAAAAAATATCTAATATTATAAATATCTGGAATCGAGCCGAAAATATTTAAAACCGAACCAAACTCAAATTGAAATTCTAAATCTTGAATGGATCTTAAATTCGAAAACCTGAAAGCAAATGAATCCATCCAAAACCGAACCAAATTTCCCGAATATCGATGACTAATTATATATATAGCTTATTCAGATTTCTCAAATTATATCTTTATGAAATTGTATTATTATTATTTTTTTCGTTTAGACATTTTCTCCTATACCAGTGTCAAACATATAATGACATGCATTTTCTACAAAGACAGCTAGAAAACAATGGTTTTAAAATATTCAGACACACCACTTGAAGAATAAAAAAAAATGTATATTTGTAAACTTTATAGCAAGAAAAAGTAAACATTGAGCATCATCAATTAGGGCTTCACCAAATTAGTCGGTATGATTAAACTCACCTAAACACTATCTATGGGCTTATTTTGTAAATGGTTCGGCCCGTTAAAAGGTCCAAAAATGATCTTTTCATTCGAGCATATTCGATAAAATTTGATGACGTGGAGATCACAGCATGGATCTGAGCTTTTCACCACCACCACCCAAATAAATAAACACACAAGCAAAGCTTCACACCTTCTTCACGCTCTCTCAGACTCTCACTGATCAAATAAAAAAATCACGATCTCTTCTACTTTTTTTCTCCCGGCGATAAGTTTCCGATCTCGATACGATGGCGAAGGAACCAGTTCGTGTTCTTGTTACCGGAGCTGCAGGTGATTTCATATTTCTCCGATCTCTTTACATGGGATCTCTGTTTACTGATTCGTATCATCGTCAGATCCTTACGTAGTTCGATTTTTGCTAATCTTAAAGTTTTACTCGGTTCGATGGTTCTTATTTTAGAGTAGGAAGTGAGATCTGAACTGAGAAATTTATTGGATCTTAGTTTTGCTTTAGAAAAGTATAGTTCTGGCTATGGTTTCTGTATAACTTTTAGAGTGAATCCTGCTGCATGTGAGCTTTAACTATCGATTTCGATGAATATATGAAGATTTAGATAAATCTTCTGAGGGATTTTTTTTTTTTTTTTCATTTTGGGTTGGCTTTGTTCTGATTATGGAACTGTGTTAAGCGATTGATTGGTAAATTTGTGTCTAGATTATCTTGAAAATGTGTTTTGGATTAACTGTATGCAGAATTATTTGATTTTTCGAGGGATTTTTTGTCATTTAGGTGTTGTTTTCTAATGATTTTGCAAGCTTAGTTTAGTGGTTGATATGTAGTTTTTGTGTGTAGATCATGTTTAAGTGTGTGATTTTACTGTTGTGCAGGACAAATCGGATATGCTCTTGTTCCTATGATTGCAAGGGGGATAATGCTTGGAGCAGACCAGCCTGTGATCCTCCATATGCTTGATATCCCTCCAGCAGCAGAAGCTTTGAACGGTGTCAAAATGGAGTTGATTGATGCTGCTTTCCCACTTTTGAAAGGTAAGTTTGTGTTATTGAAGTTGTATGAACATATTTACTGTGGAGTGTGGATTGAATATTGTTTGCTGCTAGAGACTAGAATGTGATCTTGGCGTTTTTTTTGGTGGCAGGTGTGGTGGCTACAACCGATGCCGTTGAGGGGTGTACTGGTGTCAATGTTGCTGTCATGGTTGGTGGATTCCCAAGGAAGGAAGGAATGGAGAGGAAGGATGTCATGTCCAAGAACGTTTCCATTTACAAGTCTCAAGCTGCTGCCTTGGAAAAGCATGCTGCACCAAACTGCAAGGTTATAAGTCTTCTCAAATCATTTCTTTTTTAGCCATTATGTGGAAATGTAGCATTGTGGTCTTATTTTGCTGTACGAGATACTTCATATTCTCCCTAGGAATCTAGTCTAAGACGTATATCCTCTCTCTTCATTTTGTAGGTTCTGGTTGTTGCAAACCCTGCAAACACCAATGCATTGATCTTGAAAGAATTTGCACCTTCGATTCCAGAGAAGAACATTACTTGCTTGACCAGGCTTGACCACAACAGGGCTTTGGGACAGGTCTCTGAGAGGTTAAGTGTGCCAGTGTCTGATGTCAAGAACGTGATTATCTGGGGAAACCACTCATCAACCCAATACCCAGATGTCAACCATGCTACCGTCAAGACTTCTTCCGGAGAGAAGCCAGTGCGTGAGCTAGTCAAGAACGACGAGTGGTAAAAAAATTTTAAATCATCCTAATATCTCGATCTAATTTCTGTCTATGCGATACTCATATATGTTAGAGACTAAATGTTGTAGGTTGAATGGAGACTTCATCAGTACCGTTCAACAACGTGGAGCTGCCATTATCAAGGCCAGGAAGCTGTCTAGTGCACTCTCTGCAGCAAGCTCCGCTTGTGATCATATCCGTGATTGGGTCCTTGGAACCCCTGAGGTGCGTCATTACTACTGTTCAATTTAGATTCAGTTGATTGTGTTGTGTACTAAATAAAACCAACATGTCATCTATTCTGATTTCTCAGGGCACATTTGTTTCAATGGGAGTATACTCAGACGGATCTTACAACGTTCCATCTGGACTCATCTACTCTTTCCCTGTAACCTGCCGTAATGGAGAGTGGGCTATTGTTCAAGGTAAATAAATTTTCTCCAAACCAAAAAGTTACCTATGTAGCTGACCTAGTGACCTGTGTAACTAAACCGTAAACTCGATTGTGTACCTATAATACTACTAAGTATGCAAAGCTGGTCGTCTTTGCGATGATTATGTTGTCATAGAACTAGAGATGCTGGTTTTATAGATTGTTCTGATTTGTGTGTGTTGTTGTGTACAGGTTTACCGATTGATGAAGTATCAAGGAAGAAGATGGATTTGACAGCAGAGGAGTTGAAGGAAGAGAAGGACCTCGCTTACTCATGCCTCTCGTAAACCGGTTTTTTCTCAGCTGGTTGAATCGAAATGAGAGAGCTTTGTTTCGAATAAAGAACTTTGTTATAAAAAAAAAAAGAACTTTTTGATTTGATAAACCTCTTGAGGTTTTAGTTTTCTTGATTTCCCGATGTGTCAGCGCTGATTTGCTGACCATATATAATAAACATGTATTTTGATCATTGATTGATCTCTTCTGGTTTCAGTTTTTGTTCTTCAACTTTGTCAGACGCTTACAATTGCCTCTCCTCGACAACTTTGTCTTTTATTTGGCTTGCAAAAATTAGGATCATTCACATAATTTTAAATTTCAGTGGGTTCGGTTTGGGTTTACTAAATATCCAAAAACTGATATTCTCGAGGGGAAAATTCTCAAAAAAAACATAAATTATTTAATATTTGCCAGAAAAATACATGAACTTTTTTCGTTGTCAGAAAAATACGTAAACTAATTTATAGATGATAAAAAATACGTGAACTATTTCGATTTTCCAGTTTCCCACATATAATGATCACAATTTTCAACGAAACTAACACAATCATAAACATCGTTTGCCTATTTTTCATTTTTCCTAAATTTCTAATCATAACAAAAACTTAACTATAAGAAAACAAAGATGGAAGATAAAGCTAAAATATAAAAAAAGAGAGATATTGTTATGATTATGACTACGATAAGAACGAAATTTCTTCACGAGATTGTAATAGTAACAATGTTTAATGGTGTCTTAGTTTTGTTGAAAATCGTGACCATAATATGTGGAAAACTGGAAAATCGAACTAATTCACGAATTTTTTATCATCTATAAATTAGTTTGCGTATTTTTCTTGCAACGAAAAATGTTCATGTATTTTTCTGGCAAATATTAAATAGGTCACGTTTTTTTTGGGAATTTATAAAAGTCAACCAAATTATTTAAAGATATCCAAATGCCCGCAGACCAGACCATGAATATTTTGGGTATTTAGCTAATTACATTTATAAATATTACTAATAGTCTAATACTGTATATTAGTAATATGTAGGCATGTCAATCGAGCTGGTCCGATCCAGTTTGACCCGGCTCGAAACCCATAAAGCTCGCATATGTTTGAGTCTGACCCAATTCGTCTTGAAAAATATCCGATTTTTTTTCTCAAATCTTGGCTTTTACAGGGTTTTATCGGACTTTTCTTACAGATAAGAAAATAAAACTTTTAAATTCATAACATGTCTGAGCTAGTTAGATTACCTAAGGAGTAGATTCATTATTCGTGGGACGCTTCTGTACATGTGCTAGGTGTAGATTTAAAATAACAATGTGAGGTTTACATTAAAGAAAAAAGCATGTAAGATGTAAGATTAAAGAAAAAAAAGAACAGTAAAGGTGTAAAAATATTTAAGTATTTTATTTTGTTCTTTCCCGTGTAAAGTATTTAAGGATTTTATTTTGTTGTTACCCTTCTGGGTAATTGTAACTCATGACCTCAGTTAACTATTTTATTAAGTACTAGAAAGTTGCCCACGCGATGCGTGGGTTATATATGAACTATTAGTTTAAAATTATATTAAGTTATATATAGTATATAAATGTTAATATATGTCTTAATTTAAAATAAAATAATATGTTTATATTCATTTATATGTTTGTAAAAGCATTTAAACTATAGTTATGGAAAACCTAAAAGGAGAGATCATAAGCCAAATAAACAGAAGAAGATTACATGAGAAGAAGAACTTTGATATTTTTTATTCTCTTTGATTGTACAAGAAGCTGACATAGGAGGTAGATGAAAAAATATATAGACTTTTTAATGTAGAATTAGTTTAGTTTTAAAATTACTACTAAATTTGTTAAAAAACAACATGCATGAAGATTTACATTACTATAAAAGCTAAATAAATGAATCCAAACTAAAATAGCATAACATGTTTACATCAAATTAACAAAGAAGATGAACAACAACATCTATCTATTATAAGTACATGACAACAATACTGAACTACTTATGACAAATCGATTTTATGTTCGGTCTCTCTAGGAAAAATAACTTGGGTAGGTATTTGAATTATTATGAATATATAAATTATTATTTATTTCTAGCAAATATGGTTAAGTTACTAAGAGTGTAGAGTGGGGTATGAAATTATTGTGTAGTTAATATGTTATCAATTATCATAATTTAATAGGATTTTAGTGGATTTATTTTAATTAATGAATTAAATTAAATTTAACTTTCATCAAATGTATGATCTTTAAATGACAAAATTTAAGGACCAATTTTTTTGTTAGAAAGTATATATAGTTTAACACTTTGACTACAAATAACAGTTTTGATTGCTATATAGTTTTTTTTTAATATAATAGTCTATTTGATCACAAAAACTAAATATAATGATACATATATTAAAAAGACATTTCATATATTCATATAGTGTAAAATGAAAAATTTGATTAAAATTTTAAAATTTTATTAAATGTATATATATTTAACTCATACAACAAATAACAAACAACAACGGAAAAAAAAACACAAAAACAAAACAAACAAAAATACATAAGATTTAAGATAAAGTGGAAGAGGATGAGAAAATGAGTATTTATAAGATAAGAAGTGATGGGAGTTAAAAATTAGAAGAAACAAATTGTGCGACATAATTCTAATTTATGGTGTGTTAAATAAAACTGAGTAGAAAAATATAGTTGATGCAAAGGTGATTGTGACAATGAAAATAAATATGTTACAAAATAAATTATATGAATAAGAGAGAGGTAGGAGTATATTATTTGGAAATTGTGTTACACTATAATATTTATTTAGATATTTCATAATCAAAAAAAGAAAATGCATATATAAAAATGAATCTTTATAATTTAATTCTCTTGTTGTACGATGATTGGAATTAATATAAGATACTATGATAGATTTTTATCATACTTTATAATATCAAATTCTTAAAATGATCATTTTATTGATTTTTATGTCATATAAGAGCATAAAAAATAGAAAAAAATATTAAAGATACATGAATATAATGGAAGAGAGGGAGTGAATGTACTTATATGTTGATAATCAAAAATAGAAAATAGAGATGGATTTTTTAAAAAAAACAAAAATTATAATAATGTAAGATGTATATCAATATATCATATAGTCTCTAAAAGTTTCTAGAGTTGAAATTTTATATAATAATATTTTGTTTTTTTTTAAACTCACACAACACAAAAAAATAAGGGGGAATTTCAAAAATACCTTTTTTCATATACCTCTTTTTTAAAATACCCCATTTTCAAACTTTATCAAAAAAAACCACTAAAAATGTTGAAATTTATCCAAATATGTGTGTAAGCTTATAAATATATACACAAATTACCTTTATATGTGTCTCAAACTTTATACACCTTTCATAAATAGCGTAAGAATAAATTATAAAAACCTTATAAAAACCTTATAAAACCGTATAAACCCTTTTAAAAACCTTTTAAAAACCTTATAAAACTTATAAAAACGATTTAAAACTATTCAAAACATTTTAAAACATTTGTATCGAATCTCCCATTAGTAGTTATTATATAGAAGTACCTTATAAACTATATAAAACTTTATAATTTATTATATTTAAAAAGGGGTATTTTTGAAAATGGTTAGATAAAGGGAGTATTTTTAAAAAGGGGTACGCCAAAAGGGGTATTTCTTAAAATTTCTCAAAAAACAAAGCAAACAAATTTCATAAATAAGAGGATGATATAATGAAAGAATGATATAATGAGAAAATGAGTATATATAGGAAGATAAGTGATGGGAGTTACAATTTCATAAAACAATTATGGGAGTCAATTATAATTGATTGTATGTTGAAAAAATTGAATAGAAAATATAGTTAATGCAAATTTATATTATTTCAGTTTTTATATTAAAGTTTGAGTTTAATGTATATTAAATGTGTTTTGTGGTTTATTTTTTTTTTTCAATTTTATTAAGTGTGAATCAAATATATAATATTTTTTAAAGTTATATAATATGATAGTTATTCTTTTATTTAAACTCATTATATTATTTTCTCAACAGTTTGATAATAGAAAATTAAATAAATTTTGTTGGTTAAATAGTTACATAGAAATAATTATCTTAAAAATATTTTTTATCCAAATTTTATATAAGATCTACTGATTTATTATACTGAAAAACAATAAAGCTTTCTCTAATTTCAGTATTTATCATAGATTTGACCATACTAAAAAAAATCTCTTTAATTCTTCTCTTATAAGTTAACTTTTTAAAATTAGAAAATATGTTATTAATAACTTGTTACCTATATTAATAACTTAAAAAGGTATCTTTAAAGGAGTAGGAAAAAAAAGGCATAGCAATTTTCTTTGAATAAAAAATTATAACAACTCCATTTTATGTTTAGCTTATATGATATTTAATTTAATTAGAAACTTAAATTAGGAAAAATATTTTTTTGCAACAGTGACACTTTTTTGAAAACAAACTATACATATAACATATTACTTACCACACAATATCATAAAGAAAATATTTCTTTGAAATGTTAGATTAGAAATAAATAAAAATTAGGAAAACCCTATTTTTGCAAGAATGACACTGTTTTAAAAGAAAACTATACATATAACATATAATATACCACACAATATCATAAAGAAATTAATTTTGAAATGTTAGATTAGAATTAAATAGAAATGACACATGTCAGAAGCATAGAGCTACAAATGTCGCATTGTGAGGCAAAGTTAAGAAGAAACCTTGTCTTAGTGTAAAATGAAAAATTTGATTAAAATTTTACAATGTTATTAAATATATATATTTTTTAACTCATACAACAAATAACAAACAACAAAGGAAAAAAAACACAAAAACAAAACAAACAAAAATACATAAGATTTAAGATAAAGTGGAAGAGGATGAGAAAATGAGTATTTATAAGATAAGAAGTGATGAGAGTTGAAAATTAGAAGAAACAAATTGTGCGACCTAATTCTAATTTATTGTGTGTTAAATAAAATTGAGTAGAAAAATATAGTTGATGCAAAGGTGGTTGTGACAATGAAAATAATTATGTTACAAAATAAATTATATGAATAAGAGAGAGGTAAGAATATATTATTTGGAAATTTTGTTACAATATAATATTTAATTAGATATTTCATAATAAAAAAAGAAAATGCATATATAAAAATGAATCTTTATAACTTAATTATCTTGTTGTACGATGATTGGAACTAATATAAGATACTATGATAGATTTGTATCATACTTACTAAAGATATTTATATCAAATTCTTAAAATGATCATTTTATTGTTTTTTATGTCATATAAGAACATAAAAAATAGAAAAATATTAAAGATACATTATTGGAATACAAACCAATATCCCACATCGGAAGATTAGAAAGAGAAGTTTCTAATATATAAGTTAAGTCCCACTCCAATTAGTATGAGGCCTTTTGGGAAGAAGCCAATAAATCCGTGCGGGCTTGAGTTATGAGCCCAAAGCGGACAATATCATACTAATGGAAAGTTGGCTTGGACTTGAGATTCCAACAATTGGTATCAGAGCCTAGGTCAAGATTGTGGACTTAGGGGAATGGATATTCGTTTGAGGGGGAGTATTGGAATACAAACCAATATCCCACATCGGAAGATTAGAAAGAGAAGTTTCTAATATATAAGTTAAGTCCCACTCCAATTAGTATGAGGCCTTTTGGGAAGAAGCCAATAAATCCGCGCGGGCTTGAGTTATGAGCCCAAAGCGGACAATATCATACTAATGGAAAGTTGGCTTGGACTTGAGATTCCAACATACATGAATATAATGGAAGAGAGGGAGTGAATGTACTTATATGTTGATAATCAAAAATAGAAAATAGAGATGAATTTAAAAAAAAAAAATATAATAACGTAAGATGCATATCAATATATCATATAGTCTCTAAAAGTTTCTAGAGTTGAAATTTTATATAATAATATTTTATTTTTTAAAAACTCATACAACACAAAAAAACAAAGCAAACAAATTTCATAAATAAGAGGATGATATAATGAGAGAATGATATAATGAGAAAGTGAGTATACATAGAAAGAGAAGTGATGGGAGTTACAATTTCATATATGAGAGTCAATTATAATTGATTGTATGTTGAAAAAATTGAATGAAAAATATAGTTAATGCAAATTTATATTATTTCAGTTTTTATATTAAAGTGTGAGTTTAATGTATATGATTAAATGTGTTTTGTGGTTTATTTGTTTTTCAATTTTATATTAAAGTGTGAATCAAATATATAATATTTTTTAAAGTTATATAATATGATAGTTATTCTTTGATTTAAATTCATTATAATATTTTCTCAACTTTTTGATAATAGAAAATTAAATAAATTTTGTTGGTTAAATAGTTACATAGACATAATTATCTTATAAATATTTTTTATCCAAATTTTATATAAGATCTACTGATTTATTATACTGAAAAACAATAAAGCTTTCTATAATTTCAGTATTTATCATAGATTTGACCATACTAAAAAATCTCTTTAATTCTTCTCTTATAAATTAGCTTTTTAAAATTAGAAATTATGTTATTAATAACTTATTACCTATATTAATAACTTAAAAAATGTATCTTTAATGGAGTAGGAAAAAAAGTCATAGCAATTTTTTTTTAATAAAAAATTATAACAACTCCATTTTATGTTTAGCTTATATGGTATTTAATTTAATTAGAAACTAAAATTAGAAAAAATATTTTTTTGCAAACTATACATATAACATATAACTTACCACACAATATCATAAAGAAATATTTCTTTGAAATGTTAGATTAGAAATAAATAAAAAATCGGAAAACCCAATTTTTGCAAGAATGACACTTTTTAAAAAGCAAACTATACATATAACATATAATTTACCACACAATATCATAAAGAAAATAATTTTGAAATGTTAGATTAGAAATTAATAGAAATGACACATGTCAGAAGCATAGAGCGACAAATGTCGCATTGTGAGGCAAAGTTAAGAAGAAACCTTGTCTTATTATATAAGATTTGTCATCTCCATTTTGTTATTTAGTTCTCATTTTCTCTCACTGTTCTAACCCTATCATCATCCAAAATTTTAATATCATTATCCCATCCTTTCTTGGTGGTCTAAGACCATAATTATCGGCGAGCTCTAAAGTGAATCTTAAGCAATTACATGATTTAAAATAAATGCATAATGTTGATTTACGGTAAGAAACGTCTTTTAGATAAGAGACACAAAATCAGTTAAGAGATGACACGTGTCTTTATATTATTGGTCGAAGAAGCAAAATAAAAAAAAAACATCACGCCTTCTCACGTATAGAGAGAGATGGAATCTGATGAAGTGGACGTGGATGGCTCTGATTTTATATCTTCTCTTTTTTTTTCTTCTATATTTTTACTTTTTTTTTTTGTCTCCAATACTTTTTTTTTCTTCTATATTATTAACTTTTCTAAAATTAAAACATTTTAGTTGAATATCATTTTGAATAAATATTTTTTTTCTAAGAACCTAAAATTAAGAGACTACCATTAAACATTAAAAACAAATCTACAACTCTTAACCCTTGATTTTTAAAATTAAAGAATAAACTATTTTTAATAACCAAATTTAACATCCCATTGATAATCATGCTCTAAGAATCTCGGGTGTAGAATTAGGTAGAAATTAGACACAGCCCGGGAACTTCTCACACAAGCGATACTCAAAACACATTAAGCACAAATCATGATCGTTGTTGCACCAGATGAGATTGTAGTAGATGTTAGAGATATGATTACGATTCTCACTTAACTCTCAATAGTTGATTACTTCTCTTTGAGGAACATTCTGTAATTAGCTTAACCTAGGAGCCTCTTCTCTCAATCTGTATAAATATGAATATGTACAATACATTGATGAATAACACAATAATATTCCTTACAGTAGATAGCTCGGAAACTTTCAGAACCTTTAGTGATCAACAGGTTCCATCAAGAACAGTTCCATGAGACTAAAACCCGAGTCCCCTTCTTCTTCTTCCTCAGCCACGGTTAAGAGACAGAACAGTACCACAAGCAAAACAATCAATGTGCGAAGGAAACAATTTGTAATATATTCAAGATTCTTCTTCTGTTAGAATCATGCATACGCACCACAAATAATGTTTAATATGAAAAAGATATCAAATTAATATATTTTCTCATATTATCTTTTAAGTTTTGTTGTTTTACTCTTAACATTAGCTTAAGATAACAGTTTTTTATTTATAATATAAAAAAAAAACTGTTTAATAACAACGTAATTTAAAAAAAAAGTATGAAAACTCAAAATGCAATAATATAATCTAAAAAATCTGACAAACCATAAGAAATAATCCTAACAAAATCCGATAAACTAGCAAAAAAAAAAAAAATAACAAATCTAAACAACAATCTTCTCTTGGTTTGTCTCCGGTTTAGTTTCACCGGTAAGCTCCTCAAGTGATCTTCCCTTAGGCTCCGGAATGATAAGAGCCGTGATAAGCAAGCCAGCAAGATTGATACCTCCCATGATGTATAACGTGTTACTCATCCCCAAAGCTTTAACCAAAGCAGCAAAACCAAACGAACCAACCATCGCACCAGCTTTACCTGATGCAGCCGAGATACCATGACAAGTCGACCTAAGCCTCGCAGGAAAGATCTCAGCAGGGACAATGAACGTAGTTGCATTAGGTCCAAAGTTGGAGAAGAAAAAGGTAAAAGAGTACAAAACCACAAAACCGATCCGGTTAGCTGGTAAGGTCCAATGGTGGTACGGTATAGCTAAAGCGAACATGAAGATGGTCATCATAGCGAAACCAACGATCTGAATCCAGTACCGTCCCATCTTTTCGATGAAAAAGACAGTGAAGAAGTAACCAGGAACGGTGCTGCAACATGCTATTATGGTTTGAGCCCTAGCGATCAAGAAGAGCTCTTGTAGTGCGTTCATGGTTTTAGCCGGAGGTAACCAACCAATGGTGGTGAAGATATCTTTCTGGAACAAGTTTTGGCTGTAGAAAGCGATGTCGAGGAGGAACCATGTGGAGGCTGTTCCAAATAAGTGGAGTCCGTGACGGCAAAGGAATTTCGTGGAGAACAAGCCAAACTGGTCTGAGGAAACCCTAGCTTGGTCATGCTTTGCGGAAGAGGCTTCAATATCCACGTTGAGAACCTTGGTCATATCTGAAGCAGCTTTATCAGCGTTCTTGGCAACTAGAGCGGTGTAACGAGCTGTTTCAGGCATCTGTACACGCCAGTAGTAAGTCAAGAGAGCCGGTATGGCTCCGAACATCAAAATGATCCTCCACACGTAATCCGCCTCTGGGACGGTAGTGGCTGCACCGTCCAATACATAGGCTCGAGATGGGAAGTGACTCTCGAAAAGACCCGAGACAAGTAACGAAACGGCTCCCGCGGCAAGGATCCCAATACCTTGCATACCAAAAACAGCTGCTATGAAGGCTCCACGCGTACGTTTGTTAGCATACTCGGACATGATCGTAGCCGAGAGAGGATAGTCACCACCGATACCAAACCCGAGCCAAAAGCGGAAGAAGCAAAGAGTTACCATGACGGTTTTGGGATCTTTCCCAAGGGAAAGACCAGAACATATAGAGCATATGGTCATGATCAAGAGTGTCAAACCATAAACTCTCTTACGTCCAAGCTTATCACCAAGACAACCGAAGAAGATCTGACCAAGAAACGTTCCGGCGAAGGCCACACCGCTCACGGCCGCAGAGATGTCGTCAGGGAGGCTTCCGGGAGAGGAGGAGCCAGGAACTTGATAATAGATCCGACCAAGGAGCTTCGTGATGAGAGATATCACGAAGAGATCATATGAGTCTGTGAAGAAACCCATACCGGAGATTACTACCGCCTTGACGTGGTAACATTGAGTCTTTGCACCGTCAAGAGCTTTCAAGATGCTTCCATGTTCTTCGTGAGCCATGGCGATATTTTTTTTTCTTCTCTTTACTCTGAAAACCAAACAAGTGAAATGAAGTGTTACAATATATATAGAGAAAGTTGTTGTAACAAAAAAAGTAGTACTATATCATTTTTTGCCTATCTTTAAGGAAATTGAAACCTATCAACAAACTATTCCAAAGAATGTGGGATTCAAGACTTATACTGAAAAAAAATTGCGATAAAAAACAATGAACACAGAAAGATCATGCCATGGTTTGTTTCATGCAACATTCATGATCTATTGAACAAATTAGTTTACGTGATGAAACATCTAACACTATAGTTGTAAAGAAATATATAGACGAAAGTGATTATACCAACAAGGAGAGATCTCGAAGGACTCGTTTGCTTTTTAGCTGATAATTGTTGAAGACTGATGATTGTTAGGGTTTATAGCTTTATATAAATCGTTATGGTAGAAAATGAAATGAGAACAAAAATGGCATATTCTTTTAGGAATACTGCCATCGTTTTTATCAAAAAAAACAAATGTATTACTAAACATAACTTCTTTTTTTTTTTTTCTGTTTTGTGTGATTGATTCTAACAAACAACAAAATACTATCAGTAGAAGATTACTGAGAATATTCTCCTCTGAAGATCGTTTAATTTAAGTGTTATATTTTTTTAGGTGATCCATATCTAAGAAATAACTCATTTAACCACTCCCCGGAATCGAGATAGAGGTGGACGTAGACACTAAAAACCAATAAATAAATAAATAATAATAAGAATGGTTTAAATTTGCAAACAAAATCCTATTCAATCATAATTTTATGCAAACGGAAAAAAAAATCGTTTATATTTTGAACTAAAGATACACAAATTTTCAATTTTAAGAAACAAGATTTTTTTTTAAAAGATATATTATTTTTGGAGTGATCTATGTATGATATTATAAAGAATTTCACTAAATGTTTTATAAATTTAGAAAGTTAATTATTGAAATGTTCAAGAGTAATATGAAATGGATAAATATCTATATTAACATTTTTGCAGCATTTTTGAAAAAACTTTAGAGTTGGAAGTTATTTACAAGGCTATGCCATTGACATTAATTACAATTTGGTTTTTAAATATAGATTTTGATTTTTTAAAACGACGTATATTTTTAATTATATAATTTAATATACAGTATTTTTGCAGCAGTATTTAAAATAAATCTTGAGGTTCCAAACTATTTACTAAGAATGCCATTGGTATTTAATATTTTGAAAAATAAATTGCAACACAATTTTGATGCTAACGTTATTCTTTTGAAACCAAATATTCCAAAAATCACTTCATAATTAATCTGAAAATCAATTCCCCCTGTAATTCTCCTAAAATCTATACAATATCTTTACAAAGTTGAGAGGAACCTATAAATCAGTTGGATTTATAAATTTTATATTATTCACTACTCAGCACGCTTAATAAAATATTTACCAACTAAAAATATTTTATATCAATTCATTGCAATTATTTTTATTTAAAAACCATAATCGTGATTATATTGATTATAGAAAGATAAAATATTGTTCTTCAAAAAATAAAGGTAGAGTTAAATTACATATATATATGTGCAATACCAAAATCATGAAAATAATTATTTTTGAAATTCCCACATATTTATTTATTTTTAATTATTTTTGTTTTCATATCTCATCTAGCACAAACAAAATAATATGTAATATTAAACAATACGTAATTAGTTGTAAAGTTTCCATTTTACCTTGATAAAAATATAAATTATATATTCTTAGTTGATAAAACAATTTAAATATGCATACTAAATTAAATTACAAGATTTTACATGAACCACATGTTAAATATACCGAACACAATAAAATAAATCATGTAATTTGAATACTCACTTTAGAAAAACCTGTAAAAAAATTTTCATAAAATTCTATGCACATCAAACAAACCAAAAGTAACGAATATCAATATATTATTCAGAAAAAAATATATTTAGATATGTAAAAGTTTTTAAAAATATAGTCCCGCAGTGTACCGCGGGTCAAAATCTAGATTCAAATTGTATATAGGCTATCGCAATTTGATATTTTTAAACCGATATATATTACAATTTTTAGAGCATATGTACAACATCTCATATCGAATATAGTTTTAAATATGTTTTTACATAATCTTATAAATAAGATTATAACCTTCCAAATACGAATGACGGGACTATAAACATAGATTTAATTTATTGGGGAATATATGATGGGACAGGTTTTAAGACGAGATAAGTTGTTAACTACATATAAAGTTTAAACTATTTAAAATATTTTGAAAATTTTTATAAGTTTAAGTGTTATTAATATTTTAGCTCTACATTAAGTTTATACTAAAACTAGCAGTTGACCCGCGCTCCGCGCGGGAGGTTTATATTTTTGTTTCGTTGATTTTTTTATTCATATTGTGATATTTTATTATTTTTTCAATTGATTTTTTAAAAATATTATAATTACTATCTTTCAATACTCAAATTTGGATTAAAAGCATTTGATTCAATTTATGAAATATCATTTTTTTCTTTTTGATCATGTTATAAACTAATATTTCACTTTCATTTTATTTTTCCTCTTTATAACTTTATATATACAATTACATAAATGTTGTTTTAGTCTACCATAAATTTAAATTTTACTTCCATTCTAAAATTCAGTAACATATTTAAAATATTAAATTATGATCAATTTAAAATGAAAGTTGAATTATATTATTACTACTAATAAAAAAATTAAAGTATTGTTTTTCTTATTTTAACATTTCATTTTTTTACATGATTTATTTTTATTTATTTAAACTTTCTATTAATTAAATAAGTAACATAAATATGCACTCAATGAATGTTTTAAATTTATTTTAATGTTTAAACAAAAATGTGGCTTAGGTGGATGCTTAGGTGGCATCATGAGAAGAGAGAAAAAACTAACTTTATATATATAGATATTAGGGGAAATTTCAAAAATACTCATTTTCATATACCTCTTTCTAAAAATACCCTCTTTTCAAACTTTATCAAAAACCCACTAAAAATGTTGAAATTTATCCAAATATGTGTGTAAGCTTATAAATATATACACAAATTACATTTATATGTATCTCAAACTTTATACACCTTTCATAAATAGCGTAAAAATAAATTATAAAAACCCTATAAAAACCTTATAAAAACCATATAAACCCTTTTAAAAACCTTTTAAAAACCTTATAAAACTTATAAAAACGATTTAAAACTATTTCAAACATTTTAAAATATTTGTATCGAATCTCCCAGTAGTAGTTATTATATAGAAGTACCTTATAAACTATATAAAACTTTATAATTTTTTATATTTAAAAAGGGGTATTTTTGAAAATGGATAGATAAAGGGGGTATTTTTAAAAAGGGATACACCAAAAGGGGTATTTCTCAAAAATTCTCAAAATATTATTGACTTTGCCATTTTCTTAAACATGAATTTATTTTTTTGACGATTATATGACATGACGGAGTATAACACGGGAAATGTTGTACTAGGCTTCCAATATATTATATGAACGGACATGTTGTAAGATGAAACAGATTTAAGTTGATTTTATTAAAAATATAATATTAATAATCTCACAGTTTAATACGGATCATATTACTATTTTTTTAACAACACCGGTATAAAACATGTCTGATCAAATTGATTTAGTAAAATTTGATATTATGCAATCTTGATAATTATTAAATAAACTCCAACAAAATCTATCAATTTATGAAAACATGAATTACAAGGAAAATGTTTATCCCGCTGATTAAAATCTACTTTATATACATGTAATTAAGCAACCCTTACAATTAATTCTATCATCCATAGAATTAAACACAATCAAAATATTTTACGAAAATATAGTCTCCTTGATATCTTTTGCGTACACTCTCTTTTGGGGGATGTTGACTCTCTCGCTTTTGATTTCTTTTCCTTGGTATATTGTTCGTTTGGCAGTCGCAGGTGCCTCGCGACTGCGACTGCGACTAATTTTTGTTCGTTTGGCAGTCGCAGGTCCTTGCGACTAAACGCCGCGATCAGTCGCAGCTACTTGCGATCGAAATTTTTAATCGCCGGGTAAATCAGCGATGCGATTATGAAACCTCATACGTGATTCACATCGAGATGATTCTGATTTCGTGCGCTGGCAGAGAACGGAGGAATATCATACCCATGGTAATGATGATGAAGATGATGATGGTGGTGGTGCTAGTGGTAGTGGTGGTGCCGGTGATGATGATGATGAGGATGGTGATGGTGGTGATGGTGGTGGTGGACATGTTTTATATGAGCCGACCAGTGATAGAGTTATGGAAGGTATACGTGACACCATTACAAGTGAGATGAGTAGAGGACGCCGACTACCTTATTAGATATTAATTTAATTTTTAAATCTTGTTTTATTTTGGCATGTTAACTTTATTTTGCTAGCAATAATTTAAATTTATAACTTTGTTTTACTGTGGTTTATTAATTATATTTTACTTGAAATAATTTAATTTATTTAACTTTGTTATATTTTGGTTTATTGAATTTATTTTGCTTGAGATTTGTTTATATGTTTCACTTCATATATAAAATAGTAAATGATTTTCAAAATTATTTTGAAAAAAACTTTCAGTCGCTGCGATTATAAAACGAACAACCTCGCGACCAGTCGCAGCGATTAACCGCGCGACTACAAAACGTACAGATATGCGATAGTCGCAGCGATCAGTCGCACGATTACGAAACGAACAACATCATGCGATTTTAAAATCGCAGTCGCAGTCGCAGTCGCAGTCGCTTGCGATTATCAAACGAACATGGCCACAGGCGATTTTAAAATCGCAGCCGCAGTCGCAGTCGCTTGCGATTATCATGAGCACTATTATTAAAAATTACATTTTTATTTTCTATTTTCAGATGGGAAGAAAGGTCTAAGACCACCATTATTGGTGAGCTCTTAATGGCTTAAACTAAGAAAAAAAAATCTCTTATTTAAGAGCACTATTATTGTTTTTCTTAGCTTAAGAGCCACTAAGAGCTCAAAGACAATCCAATAATGAAATGAGGCCTGAGTAAATCTAATATAGGCCTTGTATATGGAGGAGGAAGCTCTAATCCAGGACAAGAAAGATTGTTAAAAAGATTTCAATTAATTAAACCATAGATATGCATGCATGATACAATATTTCTTGTAGACATCATAACTTGAAAGGTCACCAAACAAATAAAAATGAAAACAAAACCAAACACCATTGCACTCCAAATAATAAAATCAAAAATAGAACAATTCAATAGTTTCATTGTCACAGATTAAGTGACTACTTCTCGTCCGGGCTAGCCTCAGTCTCACCAGAGAGTTCTTCAAGTGACTTACCCTTTGGCTCTGGGACAAGGAATGTGAAAAGCATACCAACAAAGTTAATAACACCAAGCATGATCAATGAGTTCTTGACTCCAATACCCGGTGGGTATCCTGCGTCGGTCTTCTTTGGATCCTGTGATTGAGCAGCATACAAGAACCCGAAAGCTCCAACAATGGCTCCAGCCTTACCTGTCGCGGCTGATATCCCGTGGCATGTGGACCTTAGCCTGGCCGGGAAGATCTCAGCAGGGACAATGAAAGTGGTTGCGTTTGGTCCAAAGTTTGCGAAGAAAAAGGTTAGGGAGTACATAATCACGAAACCGATACGGTTGTCGGGTTTGATCCAGTGGTCGTAAGGGAAGGCAATGGCAAACATGAAAACAGTCATCATGAAGAATCCCATTAGCTGGATAGCAAACCTTCCCATGATATCAATGAACGCGACTGTGAACCAGTAACCTGGAACAGTACTGCAAAGCGCGATGAGAGTCTGAGCCCTACCAATCTTGAAAACCTCGTGGATGGCGTTCATTGTATCTGCCTTTGGGATCCATCCGATAGCCGAAAAGATATCCTTCTGGAACAAATTTTGGCTGTAGAAGGCAATGTCAAGCAAGAACCAAGTAGAAGTACATCCGAGTAGGGGAAGACCATGGCGTCTAAGGAATTCCTTGGAGAACAAGCCATAGTTAAGCCTTGGGTCCTTAACAACATCCTCTGCCCTCTCTTCCATCTCAAGCTCCACTTGTAAAACCTTGGACATGTCTTGTGTGGCCTGTTTGATGTTCTTGGCCACCAAGGCGGTGTAACGAGCGGTTTCAGGCATCTTCATCCGCCAGTAAAAAGTCAAGGCTGCGGGTATAGCACCAAACATGACAATGATCCTCCATATGTAATCAGCCTGAGGAGGCGTTGAGAGAAACCTGTCTTGCTTATAGGTCGGTGATGGGAACTGCTTGTCGAAAATGGAAGATACTGCGAGAGCCACAAAACCTCCGGCCAAGATACCGATACCTTGCATGGCAAACACGGCTGCGATGAAAGCTCCACGAGTCTTCTTGTTAGCATATTCAGACATAATTGTGGCTGAAAGAGGATAATCACCTCCGATACCGAATCCAAGCCAAAACCTATACATAATTATTTAAAAATTTAAACCTCACGGCCTAATCCTTGAATTTATTGACAAACTAAGTGAGTATGTATATATATGATAATTACAATTAGATTGTACCTAAAGAAGCAAAGTGTGGTCATGACACCCTTGGCTTGGTTTCCGAAGGAGAGACCAGAAGCGAGAGAACACAAGATCATCATGATTAAAGTGAGTCCATACACTTTCTTTCGTCCAAGTTTGTCACCGAGCCATCCGAAGAAGAGCTGGCCAGCAAGGGTTCCACAGAGGGCCACACCGTTGACCGCGGCCGCAACATGAGGTGGTAGTGAGCCAGGTTTCTCTGATGCCGGATTGAAGTAGTAAAGACGGCCAAGGAGCTTTGTCACCAAGGACACACAAAAGAGATCGTAGGCATCAGTAAAGAAACCCATACCGGCGATCACAATCGCCGTGAAATGGTAAAGTTGCGTCTTCGCAACATCGAGTGCCTTGAGCACTACTAGTTGCTGTTCAGCCATTTTCTTGAGTTCTATGATCAAAAAAGACAAATAATCCAATATTTCATTAAGATCAGAGCATTGACCTTTTTGGTGTGGCCAAAAAAGTTTGTAAAACAACAAAAACTAATTTAAAAAACTGTCTTGTAGTATTTATATCTTAAGAAGGAAACAAAAAAAATCAGCATGATAAAGTATATAATAGATTTCAACAAAGACAAGTATTTGTTCACCTTAACCAGCTTTGAAGGAGATTAAGAACTTCTATGGAGAAACTGAGGAAAGGCTGAGAAAAAGAGAAGATATGTAGGTGATTGGAAATGAACAATGATGGTGGCAATTTATAGAGAAGAAGACTTCGAAGCACATTGAAATAAAAATATAGAAGATAGTATTCTAAAAAGAGAAAGAGATGTGAGCAAACGTGATCGCCTGCTTCTTCTTGACTATTTTATTTTGTAAGTAATCCATTTGTGTTTATATGTCAATCATTGATTGGTTATAGCGGCAACATAAACGCCTTCTTTTTTTTTTTTTGTCTTATTGTATCAATTAAATGGTTAAATCATACGATCATATAAGTTTTACCATTTGAATTTTTATCAACTTTCAAATTAGAATCAATCCATTTATAATATGAAGAATAGTAATGTGTTATTAGCTAGATGAAGATGTATTGCACCTAATAAAGAAGAAAAAACTAATAATACATGAGTAATGAGTTGGTACGTATAATATTTTTTCCTCTTAATTTATAGCAGCTCAAGTGGTTGAAGTCTTGAAGACATCATAATTCAACTTATTTTCATGGTGATATTAACCATGGTCCATGGATGAGTACCAAATATAATTAATATCAAATTTTACCGTATCTTTTGAGATTAACCTGGACTCGAGATCTATATCATATACTAAAAACAATAGTTTTTCTTTTGAATAATTAAAGAGGTTCTGGGCTAAAGCCCATACATCCCCTCATACCCAAAATCAAAGCATGTTATATGGTTTCGTTCCAAACGCTACTTGAACCGGCGACCTCTGAACTTTTGCCAGAGATCTTTACCAATACCAGTTGAGCTATTAGCACTTGGTCTTAAAAATCAATAGTTACATGTTAGTCATAGACATTAATCTTGATACAATCTCATTACCAAATAAATTTTAGGTAAGATTGGTCCGGCCGGCTTCAAGTCGGATCGATGTTTTGTGTAGTTGGGTTGGATTATCATGGTCATGTATATAGGACTTGAGCAAGAAATTACTTGAATGAAACGTGCTCTCTGGACGGTTGCAATATTTAAAAAAAAAAAAAATTGGGTGTAATGTTGATCATGTTCTACATATATGCATCCTAAACTGTGGGTACTCGGTATAATCAAAATAAAGAATGCAGTATATGTTTTATGATTGATTGATTGTTAATAATTTTACAAAAAAAAAAAAAATGTTTTCAATTTTCTATGTAAAACTAGTGTTTAAGTCCTTAACTTACTCTAACAAAATTATTAAACATTAATATTGTGAATTTAAAATTTAATAATTTAAAATGAATCTTAAAAATATCTGAAAATCGAGGGTGTGTAAATTTTAACACATATTAATGCAAAACAAGTCAGAAGGATTTCAAATTTCTACATTTATTTATTGGCTACTGAATCGTTCAACTCTAATAGTTGACAATTGAGGAGTAACAATCTGGATATATATTGTCATGATCGAGATTATTAGTTATCAATTAGCAAAAGTCAAAATGATTATTAAAAATAAAGCATATTCCCTAATCATAGGATATTCCTGGAGCATATGCAGATATACTCGATTTTTAATACACAAGTTCTTGTCTATAGTGGACTTACTTGTTATTTTATTTTTAATATACAGCCAGTTGTGAGGATTGATTTATAAACTGTCCAACTGAGATAAAAAATAAAATGTTTAATTTTTTTCATTGTTTTTTTTTAACCATAGTTTGCTTTGTAATTTTTTTCCTTCCAACAAAAAGGTAAAAAATACGTGGAGATTTTGATCACATGCATGCACGTAAGAACTTGGTATGCAGAATGTAAAGATATAAACTTTACAACACTTAACTTTGATAGCGTGTTATAGAAGAAATTTAAATTACAAATTAATCAATATCACAATGAACACCAAGATCACAATATGTCACACACAAAAAAAAAACAAAAAAAACAAAAGTAGAGTTGCAATATTACAACTTTCATGTCACGCATCGCACAAACAAGTGAAAAATAAAAATGACAGAAGAATTAGCAAACAAATATGATATAGCATGCATAATTACTTTTCAACCTCAGCCTCCCCAGAGAGTTCTTCTAGGGACTTGCCCTTAGGTTCAGGGACAAGGAATGTGAAAAGCATACCAACAAAGTTAATAACACCAAGCATGATCAATGAGTTCTTAACTCCAATGCCTGGTGGGTAACCAGCATCGACCTTGCTCTTGTCCTGTGGCTGAGCTGCGTATAGAAACCCAAAGGCTCCAACGATGGCTCCAGCCTTACCTGTCGCGGCTGATATACCATGGCATGTAGACCTTAGCCTGGCTGGGAAGATCTCAGCCGGGACAATAAAAGTAGTTGCATTTGGACCAAAGTTGGCGAAAAAGAATGTGAGAGAGTACATAACCACGAAACCGATACGGTTGTCGGGTTTGATCCAGTGGTCGTAAGGGAAGGCAATGGCAAACATGAAAACAGTCATCATGAAGAATCCCATTAGCTGGATCGCAAATCTTCCCATGATATCAATGAACGCGACCGTGAACCAGTAACCTGGAACAGTACTGCATAGTGCAATGAGTGTTTGTGCCCTAGCAATCTTGAAAACTTCATGGATACCATTCATGGTGGCTGCCTTTGGAATCCATCCGATGGCCGAGAAAATATCCTTTTGGAACAAGTTTTGGCTGTAGAAGGCAATGTCAAGCAAGAACCAAGTAGAGGTACACCCAAGAAGAGGAAGCCCATGACGTTTCAAGAACTCCTTGGAGAACAAGCCATAGTTGAGTTTGGGGTCCTCCGCCCTTTCTTCAACCTCAAGCTCCACTTGTAAGACCTTGGACATGTCTTTTGTTGCTTGTTTAATGTCTTTTGCAACTAAAGCAGTGTAACGAGCCGTTTCGGGCATCTTCATACGCCAATAGTAGGTCATGGCCGCAGGTACAGCACCAAACATGACAATGATGCGCCAAATGTAATCAGCTTGAGGAGGTGTTGAGAGAAACCTGTCTTGCTCGTAGGTCGGCGATGGGAACTTTTTGTCGAAAATGGAAGATACTGCAAGTGCCACAAAACCTCCAGCCAAGATACCAACACCTTGCATGGCGAAGACGGCCGCGATAAAAGCTCCACGAGTCTTCTTGTTAGCATATTCAGACATGATTGTGGCTGAAAGAGGATAATCACCTCCGATACCAAACCCAAGCCAAAACCTATACACAATCGTTTTAAAATTTAAACCTCACGGCCTAATCCTTGAAATCTTGCAACCACAATAAATTTATATATAAACCAAGTGAGTCAGTGTATATATATATAGTATCATAATTGTACCTGAAAAAGCAAAGAGTGGTCATGACACCCTTGGCATGGTTCCCTAATGAGAGACCGGAAGCGACAGAACACACGATCATCATGATCAAAGTGATACCATACACTTTTTTCCTTCCGAGTTTGTCACCGAGCCATCCAAAGAACAACTGACCAGCAAGGGTTCCACAAAGTGCCACACCGTTGACCGCAGCAGCAACATGAGGTGGAAGTGAGCCAGGCTTTGGTGATGTCGGATCGAAGTAGTAGAGGCGGCCTAGGAGCTTAGTCACCAAGGAAACACAAAAGAGATCGTAGGCATCAGTAAAGAAACCCATACCAGCGATGACGATCGCTGTAAAATGGTAAAGTTGCGTTTTCGCTACATCGAGTGCTTTCAACACTCCAAGCTGTTGATCGGCCATCTCAGGTTTGCCTTGTCTTCCCTGCTTTCACGTACAAAACTTTAATACTTTCGCAATGATATTATTGTTATATAGAATAGGGTTTAATATGTAATATGAAGACATTATGATGCTATTCGGATAAGAGAACAAAACTAGGTTGACTCTTTCTTTATTAGGGTTTTTAAGAAAGACGAGAAACGCATGTCTTCAATTAGGAGACAACATTTTTATCTTTTTTTTTTCTTTTTCTTTTGGAAAGATTTCTTAGTAGAGACAACATGTTAATTCAGTAGTTTCGTACATTAGATAGTTGATCAAAGAAAAAAAAAAGTTATATAAACTTCAAAAAGATGATGATGTTTGAAGTAAATTTTCATATATGAACTAACCTTCTCGACCTTAAAGTTAGTAGCCTGTAAGAGAGATAGGGCGAGAGGAGGAGAAAGAGAGATTGAAGAGATGGTAGTGGTGGTATGAGTGCAAAAATGTTGGGAATTTATAGAACATATGTGGGGATTGATATGCGGTATCTTTTAGGAGGTATATACTCTCTTGCACGAACACAAAATAATATATTTATATCGTCTATATATTATACACACATATCAAATTATCAATATGTAATGTCACAAAGTTTATTTTTTTTTTAATGAATAATTACATTTTGGAAAAGGTGGTATTGGATTTAGTTGCTCAACAAAATTTGTCAGTATGTGTTTGTGTTCAAAACTTAAAAGTTTTCTATGTATTCATTTTTATTTTTCAGATACTCTTTTATATTTATCAGTTTTGGTCTTTCACATCTAATTTTTCTTAGTAGCTTCTAGTTATGATATAAATTGAATTTTTCTATAAAAATTAATTATTTTTATTACTCTTTTGTTAGTTGTTTTATTTGTATTTCACCTCTATTTCCTTCGTTTAGCAAAAGAAAATGTCGTTTTCACATTTTATTTTTGATCACAAATGTAGCTATATATATATATGTACATTTTTTGGAGAAAAGTGTATATACTATATATTTCTTTTGAGTTTATACCATAAGTATATTGCCAGACACCAACTTAAGCGCTTCAAGTGGTAGGTCTTAATTTGGTTCACCATGCAGTTATCGCCTATGATTGTTTAAATTTATCAAACAAGGTTTATGTAGAATTTTTATATTAAATACAAATTCAGTAATAATTTATAATGATAACCTAATACTATGATTTCACTGTCTGATTAAACTTAATAATAATAAAAAAGAACATGAATGTAGAACTTTCATATATAAAAAAATATAGAATTTTCAATTAATTAAGCAAAGTTTAATGGATAATGCAATTTACAGAGGAAACCTCAAAACTGTTGGATGGTTGGTTCCACGTTAAGTTTCATTTATAAATCTGAATTTGAAAATTAATTAAGAGAACGATGCGCATAGGCATAGTGCATACCATGTTCCCAACTAATAGGAGGCAGAGCATGCTCTTCGGATGCGATATACTTTTAAGTTTAAAAAGATTTTATATATGCAAATTTGTTTTTGTTTTTTACATAATGTATTAGGAAATGATTATGTGATGTGATTTGATTAATAGGGAGCAAACCAAATCAAAATTTCGTATAGATAATGTTCGTAAAAAAAATTCCTATAACCACTTAACTTTTCGTGGCTTTAGTATAAAATTTTTTTATATATTCGTGATTATAATAAAAAAAAAATTTATACCTACGAATATTAAGGTTCAGCCACAAAAATTTTAAGTGACTATAGGAATTTTTTTTTTATTAGTATATATAATTTCGATTGATAACGTATATAAAATTATGTAAACAAGCTGGAAACTACGTTGAAGTGATAAACTGTTACAAAATAATACAAAGCTGGAAGATAAAGGTGTACAAGAAAATTGTATAAAAAACTGAGAATAAAAATTTTAGTAACGCTTTTGTAATAGGTAATTGTCGAAGTAAGACAATTCATACCTAAGCGGTACGGAATTACCAATCAAAACCAATAATATTTGTAATGTACTGTTACAATAGTATTTGTTTTTGAGTTTGTCCTAACTCCTAACTGAAGTTTTTCCAACACTAACAGAATCAACATGATTAGACAAAAATCCAATTTATGGAGGATAGTAGAGGTTAAGTTTCAGATCTTTGTCAAGACTATCCAAAGGGGGAAGAGAGGCAAAAATGATTAGTAGGATATATATATCATCTCAAGAGTGTAGTAGCTAGTGGTTTAGTGCATGCATGGGCAAATGAATCAAGAACCAATAAAGAATGTGATGACTTTATTGCAAAAAACGCCTACACCAGAAACCGATGCTTAACAATGATTTTTCTGAGGCTTGAAACTAAAAATTACTTTTTTCCTATCATTTTTGGTCAAACATTAAACGAGATTCTCAAAGATTAACCATCAGAATCTTAAAAAATATAATTAGTGTAATATCTATACTGAGACAAATACCTCTAACAAAATTTTTTTTTTCCACATATACTAGAAAAAAATAATACGTAGCAGAATAAAAAATATTTTTTTTGTTAATAACTTCCACTTGTATAAAATTTATCTAATGAGTATAAATTAGGGATCGATTCTCTACAAACACGAAATTTACTAAATTATTTCTATTTTTGGTTTAACTTGGATTGCTCGTAGTTATAACTTTTTTTTTTGAAGATGCCACAAATTATATACAATTAAAAATCAAAATGGTGCTATCATCTCAAATTTGCTGTATTTAAAAACAAAAATTCGATCATCAGCACGCAAAAGTAAACTCTTACTTTTATATATGAAAATGTCGTAGCCTCTTTAACATGTGCAGCTTATGCAATTTGACTGTATAAAGTCGACGTATCCAATATTACATATTATTCCACAATTTCAATATTACGTATAAACTAGTTTTGCAATAGTGAATACATATGATTTTCAAAGTAAAAAAAATCCAAAAACTTATAAACATATTCGAGGTTTTACTTACCACAAACCTTATATAATTTTTTCACTAATATATAATCAAATCTTAATCATATATTGAAGTTAGTATCAGTTACAAGAATTGGAATTAGATTGGAGATAAAAAAAACTCTGGTTAATTTTTTTTTTCTATTTCAGTATAGAAAGTTAGAAACTTTGAATATATTAAATTCACAAGGCAAAAATGTCAACCCATATATGTGAATATATATATTATCTATATTACTATATTACTTTATACCTTGACATGACATATATTATCTAAAAATATATGTTAACTCTAACTTGAAACCTGAAAGTGATCTCTCTTCTTCTGACTTTATCTAGAAATGTGTTGTACGGTTACATCTATCTTGTAGGAATGTGTTGTTGTACGGTTGCATTGACTTTTGCTCGGAATATACTCTGATAAGTAGAATCAAAATTTGTGGCCACAGCTTTATAAACACATTATACATATCCAAGATATATATATAAAACAGATTTAGACTTATTGTATATATAAACGGTTGACATTTCATTTAACGTTTTTTTTTAATATATAATCAAAGTAGAATTTTCCAAAACAAAGTTGACTTCAGTACGGATATACACATGATAAGAGTACTCTAGCTCAAACAATGTGATAAGATTTTTTTTTTTTGGGAATAGTCTATGATTTAATGATATGATGATGTATTAGGACGAAATATAAAACACTAAGGAGAACTAATATACATAAATAAAAATGGTTTTACAAAAAGTTGGTGCATTAATGAATTAAACTTAATTGATTATTAGTTATAATTTTCAGATCTTTGTGAATAATTTGGATATATTGTCTTCACTTGGCAAATGTCATACAATATGTGTTTGATATATATCTTGGCGAATATTGATCTAATGATATATACTGAAGAAGGTTATAACCTTAAAGTGACCTCTCTATCTCTAACTTGTAATCTTTCTTGTCGGATCCTATTTTAATTAGAAGCCAAATATTCGAAGTACTTGTGGGAGACACGTCGGGTGTCTAGACTCGAGAGAAGGTCCCAAGTGAACCATTTGGGCTAGAGACGTCTGGCACTCTGACTCTTTTTGTGTTTGGTTCTAACCACTGGTTTTTGCAATGATCATGCAATGATCAAGATGATAATAGTGTCATTTATTGCAATTTAGTACTGCTTTTCTTCATTTAATTGATCAAGTATATTGTAATGGAAACATCTAATTACCAAGTGTTAATGTCTCATTTGGTAACGATCTTTAAAAAAAACCTAGAGATCGCTGGTTCGAATATCGCTTGAGACGAAACTATATAAACTACTCCGGTCTTGGATCGAGGAAATGTACAAGGTTCAAAAAACTGAAATTAATACACAAAATGTTAACTCTAATTTTTATTATTTTTGAGAAATTAGACGTGGACATGCAAAATAATATTTTATATTTATGATAGAAATCTTTCTTTCTGCAGAAGTTAAATAAAAAGTAAAATTCTTCTAAATAACAATTTCTAATAACTATATTCTTCATATGTTAATGTTGTTGAAAACTACTCTTTAAAGAATCCATATATGCTATGGATTAACTGTTAAACTAGTTTCTATAATATTGTTGTGGAAGTATATACTCAAATTCTGAGAATAAAACGACAACTTCATATAAACTACATGGATCACAAAAATTTAGTGGGAGCCTTGTCTCTTGGATTTAGTTTGACCTATACATATATCCAAATAAAATTATTTGAACATATCTTTGTAATAAATCAAAAATATATTTACATATTTATTTTGTAGGATCTTTTTTTTTCTTGTAAATAAATCGTTGGCGTTTAATTCGAAAGATGTTGATTTTGATGAACGAAAAAAATTTGTATAATAAAAGTCAACTAAAATCTGTACGGAGATTTAAAATTGTAATAAAAACTATAATATAATAAATGTATCATATATATCCACACTATATTTATTATGTTAATATTTTCAAAATTTTCATATACGTCAACTTCAAGCTTACTCACATTTTCTTGCAAACTATTGCAATTGTTAGTATGTGTATATACTTTTCCATACTACGAATATAGGTTTGTTGCTTTCCACATCTTTCATCTATACCGAATTAGTGATTTTACGTTCGTGTCAATCTTCAAGTCGTAGCGATATGTACCGATGGATCAATGGATGTATTGCCGGTTTTTTTATGATCACCACGAATATATTCTCATTGGTAAGCCTATTGAGTAACACATTGTAGTAGTAAATCACACATTTTATAGCATTTTCGAAAATTACACTTTCGTGTGGATTATACTTAATTAGTTGATGATATATAAGGGTGCTTATCCCTTCGAGGTAATATGATATAAGATAACTAAATTAATTGGTTGGACTTGGACCAAACATAGAATAGGTCTATGATAAGAAATCTGATAGATGTCATGGATTCCTACTAAATAACATCACATTACTAAATCCAGAAGAGCAACCAAGAAAACTAATGGAAAATATGTTTTAAATTGAATAAAAATGTGAATATACCCTTAAGATGCCTATGCTTCTCCGATCTCTTCTATAAATATTGGCCGTCTTAGCCACCACTATCACAACTACAACCACCTCTCTCTCTCTCTTTCTCTTGCCTTGTACTTCCACACCACTAACACATCGTGACGGTAAGATTAGTTACAAGTTTTTGCATGCAAAACTTGTTGATTGTTTCATTGTATTTTCAATAAATCTGAATAGATTTGATTTTATGTATAGTTTCATCTACCGTAAAAAAAGAAATATTCATTTTTATTTGTATTAAAATAAAAGAGACTAGCTTTGTTAATTTGGATTAGTATTTTTTATATATTACGTCCAAAAAAAATTAATCCAGAATTTTTAATTTTATTGCATGAGAATAGGAGAGACAAAAGCAAGAACGATGGCTGATCAGCAACTAGGAGTGCTAAAAGCACTCGATGTTGCGAAAACTCAACTTTATCATTTTACGGCGATTGTTATAGCCGGTATGGGTTTCTTTACCGATGCCTATGATCTCTTTTGTGTGTCCTTGGTGACAAAGCTCCTTGGCCGTCTCTACTACTTTAATCCAACGTCCGCAAAGCCTGGCTCATTGCCACCTCATGTTGCGGCAGCGGTCAATGGTGTGGCCCTTTGTGGGACTCTTGCTGGCCAACTCTTCTTCGGATGGCTTGGTGACAAACTAGGAAGGAAGAAAGTCTACGGGCTTACTTTGATCATGATGATCTTGTGTTCTGTTGCTTCCGGTCTCTCCTTTGGAAACACGGCCAAGAGTGTCATGACCACTCTTTGCTTTTTCAGGTACAATAATCAAGTCCAAAAACTATTTTTTTTTATTGGATACAACCTCCCAAAATATTCATTAATACACAAATGGTTATGAATAGGTTTTGGCTTGGATTTGGTATTGGAGGTGATTACCCTCTTTCAGCCACCATCATGTCTGAATATGCTAACAAGAAGACTCGTGGGGCTTTCATTGCTGCCGTCTTTGCTATGCAAGGTGTCGGTATCTTGGCTGGTGGTTTTGTGGCTCTCGCAGTTTCTTCCATTTTCGACAAGCAGTTCCCATCACCGACCTATAAGGAAGACAGGTTTCTCTCAACGCCTCCTCAGGCTGATTACATTTGGCGTATCATTGTCATGTTTGGCGCTATCCCTGCGGCCTTGACCTTCTACTGGCGTATGAAGATGCCCGAAACCGCTCGTTACACTGCTTTAGTTGCCAAAGACATTAAACAAGCCACAAAAGATATGTCCAAGGTCTTACAAGTGGAACTTGAGGTTGAAGAAAGGGCGGCAGACCCTAAACTTAACTATGGCTTGTTCTCCAAGGAATTCCTTAGACGCCATGGTCTTCCACTTCTTGGGTGTACCTCAACTTGGTTCTTGCTTGACATTGCCTTCTACAGCCAAAATTTGTTCCAAAAGGATATCTTTTCGGCTATCGGATGGATCCCAAAGGCAGATACAATGAACGCTATCCACGAGGTTTTCAAGATTGGTAGGGCTCAGACTCTCATCGCGCTTTGCAGTACTGTTCCAGGTTACTGGTTCACAGTCGCGTTCATTGATATCATGGGAAGGTTTGCTATCCAGCTAATGGGATTCTTCATGATGACTGTTTTCATGTTTGCCATTGCCTTCCCTTACAACCATTGGATCAAACCAGACAACCGCATTGGATTTGTTATCATGTACTCCCTCACCTTTTTCTTTGCTAACTTTGGACCAAATGCAACCACTTTCATTGTCCCGGCTGAGATCTTCCCAGCCAGGCTTAGGTCTACATGCCACGGAATTTCAGCCGCGACAGGTAAAGCTGGAGCTATTGTTGGAGCTTTCGGGTTCTTGTATGCTGCTCAATCACAGGATCCGACCAAGACGGACGCAGGATACCCACCGGGTATTGGTGTCAAGAACTCATTGATCATGCTTGGTGTCATTAACTTTGTCGGTATGCTCTTCACATTCCTTGTCCCAGAGCCAAAGGGTAAGTCCCTGGAAGAGCTCTCTGGTGAGGCTGAGGTTGATCAGTGATAAAATGTAACGTTCTTTTGTGATTTGTTTGATAATTTTTTTTCATTTCAACACTTTGTATTTCCCTTCGCGTGATGCACTAATTAAGTACGAAAGTTTGTGATGTGGAATACTTCAGTCTTACTGCCTGAGTGCAAATCTTGTAATCCATATGCTTTGTACTCTATCCAATCAACAATGTCAAAAGAAGCCGTATAAGTTTCATTTTTCGTACCATTTTTTGTAAGTTTCTTTACATTTGTACATATATATATATATATATATATATATCCCAATCACTAATAAGCTAAATTCAGAAGCGACAGACGATTTTTATAAATAAATTAGTTTAGTCAAATATGCAATGTTAGACCCTACCAACAACTAGTTTATATCGATTGATCGACTTTTGTTTAATTCAAACTTTATTAGTATTTTTAAAAATATATAAAAAAACCAATATGAAAAAAATTCACGTGAGAATTTGAATTTTTATTCTGAATAAAATGCAATAGAGAGGAAAAATAAAACCAACACTCTAATACATTATGATATATCCACAGCAGAATATAAACAATAGTTTAATTTTACAAAATATCAGATGGACAAAGTAAGTAAGTAACTATATAGAGTTCTGGTTTAGGTAAAGGCCAAAGTGTTTTACGCTTTAGTTTCTTCCAGCTGTAGGGTTCGCGGACAGGGCGGTCTCATCACTCACATTCTCACCTGAAAGCTCCTCAAGAGACTTCCCTTTAGATTCAGGCACTAGAAACGTCATGATCATACCAACAAAGTTAATTACACCAAGCATGATCAATGAGTTCTTGACACCAATGCCCGGTGGATATCCAGCGTCAGTCTTGGTTTTATCCTTTGACTGAGCTGCGTATAAGAATCCGAATGCACCCACGATGGCCCCAGCCTTTCCTGCCGCGGCTGATATCCCATGACAAGTGGATCTTAGCCTGGCCGGGAAGATCTCGGCAGGAACCACAAATGTAGTTGCATTTGGACCAAAGTTTGCAAAGAAGAAAGTTAGGGAATAAATAATGACGAATCCGATGCGGTTGTCCGGTTTGATCCAGTGCTCGTAAGGGAAGGCTATAGCGAACATAAAGACGGTCATGAAGAAGAATCCCATTAGCTGAATTGCAAATCTTCCCATGATATCAATAAAGGCAACCGTGAACCAGTAACCTGGGACGGTACTGCATAGCGCAATGAGAGTCTGAGCCCTGCCAATCTTGTAAACCTCATGGATGGCATTCATAGTTGCCGCCCTTGGGATCCATCCGATCGCGGAAAATATATCTTTTTGAAATAAGTTTTGGCTGTAAAACGCGATGTCAAGTAAAAACCAAGTGGAGGTAGTTCCAAGGAGAGGAAGTCCATGACGTTTAAGGAACTCCTTGGAGAAAAATCCGTAGTTGAGCTTAGGATCTCTAACAATCTTATTAGAACTTTCTTCCTCAGCTTCAAGATCCACTTGCAAGACTTTAGACATATCTTGTGTGGCTTGTTTAAGGTTTTTGGCGACTAAAGCTGTATACCGAGCCGTTTCGGGCATTTTCATACGCCAATAATACGTCATACCGGCAGGGAGAGCACCCACCATAAGGATGATACGCCATAAGTAATCAGCTTGAGGTACAGTCGAGGCAACAGCGTCTACACTATAGATTGGTGATGGAAACTGGTGGTCAAAAATGCTTGAAAATATGAGCGCAACAATACCTCCGGCCATGATCCCAAAACCTTGCATAGCGAACACAGCTGCGATGAATGCACCGCGTGTTTTCTTGTTCGCATACTCCGACATGATCGTAGCTGACAGTGGGTAGTCACCTCCAATACCAACTCCGAGCCAAAACCTTTTTGGACAAAAAAAATGTATAATTGACATCAATTACCTAATGACTAAATATTATTTTTGTTTTTATTTGATTCACTAATCGTCTTCATTTACATATAAGTGTTGTAGAAGACTTTTGTATGTCTTAAAAAAAATTATGATAATATATTAATATGTAATATATGCATTTTATTCATTCAGTACTATTTTAAAATAGAGCTCAACTAATATTCTATCTTACTAATATAATTTTTAAACTGATATCAAAAATTTCTTTAGATATTTAATTGTGAATATTAAAGTTATTTGGTTATATATTATTGTAAATATATAGAGAATTCTTTGGTTATATAAAAAGAAGCTACTTGATAAGTACCTGAAGAAACAAAGAGTGGTCATGACCCCTTTTGGACTGTTCCCAAAAGAGAGACCGGAGGCGACGGAACAAAGAACCATCATGATCAAAGTGATTCCATACACTTTTTTCCGACCGAGTTTGTCTCCAAGCCACCCAAAGAAGAGCTGACCCGCAAGTGTCCCACAAAGAGCGACACCATTGACTGCGGCCGCTACTTCTGGTGGGAGTGTTCCCGGCTTTTCTGCACCAGCCTTGTGGTAATAGATTCGGCCTAGGAGCTTGGTGACCAATGAGATACAAAAAAGATCGTAGGCATCAGTGAAGAAACCCATCCCGGCGATAACAATCGCCGTGAAATGGTAAAGTTGTGTTTTAGCCACATCTAATGCCTTGAGCACTCCTAACTGTTGATCTTGAGCCATTGCTACAAAGACATTAACCAATAAATTAGAACTGAATATAATATCTCTTTAATTACCAAAACACTGTGTTTTCATAGGTTTCATGTTTCTTTAAAAGACAAAGGATTAAGCATTCTTAGCATAGGAAGCATTAACTATAAACGTCTATAGAACATTTAAGCTTCAAACAAGATCGACCAACTAAATTAACTAACCTTTAAGCTTATACTGAGGCTTCTTGGGAAGAAATATAAAAAGTTATGTGTAAAACTTTGACTAAGATATCTCAAAAGTTAGAAATGTATGTGCTACTTATAGACCAAAATTACAATTTAAAGTCAACGTACGTAACTCTATATATTGGAATGGAATCTGAAGGAGCATATGCTCTAATCTTGTTTGTGTTTTATAAATTGTATTATAATAAGAACCTCAATAATACGTAATGATAATGAAACTACTCCAGAATGATGAATATGAAATTCAATTCATTCGCACTTCAATCGTTTACTATGCGACTAGGACCAGTAAATACAAAATTATTTTATTATATGCTAATATATATATAAAATTTGTGGCTTTATTTGAAAGCCGGGTGATACACTCTTCTTGATGTTCAATTAAAACAAACAAAAAATTGCAATACTAACTTTTTTGTTTGACTATTTTGAAAATATTTCGACTGTATAAAATAGTATAATTTTAGTTCACACTAGTGACGGACCCGCACGTACGTGCGAAGTTATTTTTACAAAATTACGATTTGTTAAGTAGATGCTATTTTGGTAAAATTTTGTTATATGAGTTTATATGATAAACTATATATAGACACACAGTTGTAAAATATAGATATTGTATTACATAATACAATTTTAAAATTATTTAAATGAAAATGATAAATGATATTACTTGTTTATTTTTTAAACTAATCAAAATATTTCACTGTTTGCTTAGAGATGTTAAATCGGATTTGGGTTTGGCTTTAGTTTGAACTGTTTTATGTGTAGTTTAGAATGGAAAACCCGTCATGTCCCTTTCCGTCTTGTCCTGAACCGTCCCGTCCCACCCTGCCCCGTCCCGTCCCGTCTTCTATCTGTCATAAAATTACTGTCCAATAATCGTTTCTTTTTAAAACATAGTCATTTGTCAATGTTTATTATAAGAAACTTGGTAAAATATTTAGACGGGATACCCGTATTTCTCGTTTAAATATTTATTTTTATCAAACTAATAAAAATCTAATTATCAATATAAGTCACATGCTCCCACCATTTTCGATCACAAGGCACTGTCTGTAATCCTAGCATACACAATCCTTGTTCGATTTTTAATTTTATTGATCTTTCCGTTTCATCTTTATTTCTCATTACTTTCTTCAATTCAAAGATTCATGTTTTAGCCTTTTTGTTTTCTAAAGATTTAGGTATTTCTATTTTTTTAATACATGGATTTATTGTAGTTTTGTTATCCGAAGTATACGTTATCTTCTTGTACCCGTCATATCATGTCTAAATATTTGAAATAAATAGGAAAGTGGAAATTAAATTTAGCAATTTAAATTACATGTCCCGTAT